CCCCCCCCCGCCTCTTGACTCGCGGCGGTTTCAGTACAACTTGAGGTGCGTGGTGGGAAGGGGTTTGATGGACGTTCTCACGGCCGGCTACTGCTTCCGACTAAGGATTGGCGGCGAGAGGGAGCTTTCGCTGCTAGGGAAGGACAAGGTAAGCAAGAAAAAAACACCGAAGACATCGTCTGAAGATTTATGCGCATGCTCTATATAGGTAAGATTGACAACCGCTTGCACGATCGATCGAGGCTAATGAACAACGTGGAGCCACCTCTCTTTTGGCCGTGTGAGGACGTGTCCTTCCTGCTACCGCTAGGATAGAATCCGGTCGATTTTGCTTGTGTAGCAGCGTGATGGTACCATGGCTGAGCTGGTTATTACAGTATTGTTGGGTAGCAAGGGGTAGCGTGATCGTTGGCCTCGCGAACCATTGGCGTTGACGTTCCTCGCCTGCCGGCGCCCTCCCCTTCCGCTGCTACGCGATGTCTGATGTGACGCGACTTGTCACCCTTCCTAACCATACAGGCGAGTGCCCCGGAGCGGCTAGCCTTGAAAGAGGCTGTGGTGTTGGCTGCACCTCACCACTCTACCATCCACGGACTGCACCTGCAGAAGCCGGCGTTCGGCCTGACCGTCCGAGCGGCCTCGCGCTGGCTAGAGCAGCATATGATGGAGGAGCACCTGCGGTGAGATGTCGTGATGGGTGGGAGACATTTCGTGCACACTGACGAGCGACAACCCGTGTAGGCCGAGGGCATACGCTACTTTATTACTACAGTAGGCCTGGCGACACAATCGGTACATGCGCGATCGTGGCAGTGGTATAAAACGAAAAACATGGGAGCGGAGCCACCACCCTCTCGATAGTTTGGGACAAGTGGCGCAGGTTTGATGGGTGCGATGTGTTCATGCACGCACATACGACAAGACGGAAAGGACCGGACACGAGCTTGGTGGTTTTGGTGGGACGCTTCACAGTGCAGCAGCCAAGGAGAGATTCATCTCTATCAAGAGCGCGTGCTCTCGCCATCGACTACTGCTGTGGAGTCGTGCCATCCCGCCTTTGCCTCGGAAGAATAAACCGTTGCTTCATCACCCCCCCCTCCTCCCCGCCGCGCTTTTTTTTTATGTCGCACACAGAGTGGAGGCAGTGGAGCTCCTTGTGGCGAGCCTTTTTTCGGACGAGGCACCGCTGGCACCCCCGTCCACCGGACTGGCGGGATTCCTCCGCTTCTTGCTGCTCCTCGCGGGACACGATTGGGCGACCGCGCCGCTGCTGGTCGACCCGCAGGTTGAGCTGAGCTCAACGGATAGGGCGGCTGCTACGGAGGCGTTTTCTCGATCGAGGGACAGGGGTGAGTCAGCCTCGAAGCCTTGCGCTTTGCCTTGTGTGTGTTTCTTGGTGCGGCGGGCGGGGAGCAGAAAGCCCTGGTAGTTCTGCTCGTCGTGGCGGGGAGGTTGGTGAGCAGGACAAGAGGTACGGCAGTAGTCGTGAGGCAGGTAGGGTGACTTTGGCATGTGCCATACACTGGCGTGTCATAGCGGGCAGGTTTCTAGGGGATTTGCTGTGGGCCCCCATATGGGTGGGGCGAGAAGGAGCGATGTTAAGCGACGCTCACTGTCATGTTGTACGTAGTCGGGACGTATGCCCCTGCGGCAGTCCGTTGCATCCCGAACCGTTTGACCGCGTCACCGTGGGTGCCGTGCGGAAGCAGGAGGGCAACGCACAATTATCGTGGTATGGGAAGGAACTGGGAACGAAATCACCAGGCATGGATGCGGGTTCAGACAATGCCAACACCCGACCCAACCGCCAAAACCACGAAACCACCACCTGCTTCGACCGGAAAAAACGCCTGCCCTTCTTTGCAGACCCCGGGGGCGGAAGCGCCATGTACGTGGTCGCACCCTACGCCCGCGACCTGGGCTGGGAGTCTTCCTGGACCTCGCCCCGTCCCGAACGGCCTGTGCTCGGCCGACTGGTGGCTCTGGCCAAAGCATCGGCGGAGTCTCTGGTGGGCTGGCTCTCGGGGGAGGGGGCGCTGGGGAAGGGGCCCGGTGGCTGGAAGGACGCCTTCAGGTGAGGGTATTTACGGCATTACAGGACAGACGTGGTCTCGTGCTCGTTGCCACTTCTGTCGGTCGTGTGTGGTGCTAGGCAGATTGGGTGTGACACCGAGCAAGAAAATAGTGGGTTTGTTTTGTTCTTGGGTTTCAATACTTGTACATTTTATGTTTGTGTGTGTGTTTTTATTTCGGTTCTGGGGACGCAATATGGGCGTTTCGGTGGCTTAAAGCACTGCGAGGGTTGCCTGTGGGCATGCAGGGAGTGAGAGGGCAACGTGAGGAACGTTTTTGCCGGCACGAAGTATCTACGAGGGAAGACCCCGCAACCTTCCCTTGTCTCCGCTCGATGCCGGCATCCGCTCTTTGTTGTTCTGCTAGTTGGCTTGACCGTAG